CCTTCTCTGTCAGCGGCCGTAAGCAGACAAACTTTCTGAAGAGAATTTTGATGCTTTCAAATAAAATCTAAGCGAAACAAAGTGTAGCGAATTTGCTGAATTGAGTTCTAGAGACGCCGTAAAATTGAGGCAGAAGAAAAGAATTTCAGGAAATTTCACAGTTGTTATGAAGTACTCTTCGAGTGGATTCCAACAATCTTTACCGCTTCTCATCACATTAATTTTGAAGGAAGTTATGGGCCTTTGAAGACTGCATAGTCGCGGTCCAGGAAAATGGCTTGAAAAAAATCAAGGTGGAAAAAACGGAACAACGGGACTATTTTTTGAGCGAGTGATTATTTCAAAAGTTTTAGCACTTATTCGAAAGCTCTAATAGTTTCTAATTAGCCTTAGACATCTGCAAAAAGTTGATATGAAGAAAGTTATGAATGTTTGAATGTCGAAAACTCGCGTGTGCACAAAAAACGGAACAACGGGACGATTTTTAAAGGACGAATTTACGATGGAAAAGCAACCCATTCCAAATTGAGGTAGAGATGGTGAGTAGTACCAGAAAGAAAGCGAAACCACGAAAAACGGCCCAGAACCGGAGAAATGGGACCCCTTCCTTGTCCGTTGATTTGAGCATTGATGGGACTCTCATCGCTTTGCCCTCTTCAACCCTACGCTCTCTCAGCTATCTAATCTCGCCGACAGGGTGAATATCGCTTGAGGATTCCTCAACGGCACGTCGAGGATTCTCTGCCCGATCAGACACGATCTCTCGCGCGGACATTCACACTCGCCATGCGCGTGCCGTCTGTGCTCTCCGCGCGGATGTTCACTCTCGGCACTACTCTCGCATGGTAGAGAGCTATGGTCGAGGAAATCCTCGACCGTTATTCACCCTGGTTCGCCACCTATTGTACTACGGCGAGTGATCAGACGATCGGTGGGCGGAGATCGCCGAACTCGCCAACTTTGAGCCATGCTAGATCTCAGAGGTCAAATCTTTCGATGCCGATTGCGTGTCTGTCCGCACCCTCAAGAGATTCACCGCTCTCCCCACTAGGCGATTTCTCCCTTCTTCGACCTTCGTCTTAGTGCAATCTCTTTAAGATTGCCCATTTGATACTTTCAATAGCCTTCTAGGAAAGAACAATTTGTAATTTTTTGAATTTTGTGTCGGTTCTCTGAGACAGTTTGAAAAATATAACTTGATGGGGGGTTTGATGTGGAACGTATTGCTCACTGGGTTTAGTTTTTACGTTGAAAGAATAAGAACTGATAGATCGAAAAAAAACTTGGTAGGTTACTGAAAGTAGAAATCTCTATGATTACAGTCATGTATTGGTTTACGCAAGAATTTGGAAACTCCTTCTATTAATGAATAAAACGTCATAATGCCTCGATTCCCCCCTCAAGGAGAACGGCGCGTGCGATTGGCAGGTCGGACCTCCTTTCCATGTGTATTGCCATACGTGCATGATGAAGATTAATTTATGTACAGACTCACTTGTAATATGCGTGGAGGCTAACGATACTCCGGAAAGGAGGGGAGTCATAAAATTTTTGAAGTAGAGACTAACGAGGTTGACCCTGGTCGTGAGGTAGGGAGATAGTGACGATGAATTGTGAAAAACTCCTATTTTGGCAGCTTTTTTCTTTATTCGGAATTTCATTCATTTTGAATTTCCAACTTCTAAGCACCATATCTGAATACACTTACAATACAGAAGAAAATGACAAACAAGGTATTGTAGAGCGGAAGAAGTACTTTTAACTGATATTGCGATTTCCTAAATTTGTATTACGATACATTTGTAGCTCGAGAAAAAACTCTACGATATTATTCCAACACTGCATACATATGAGCCGAATGGCATCGTGTATACACAATTAAACATGGATCCATGGAGAAGGCTCCTGCCACCATATGCCAGCACGCCTGCCTATTCATTTATTCATTTACTATGGCAGTCGAGATCGCCTATGAGAACCAGGAATAGTGTATGTATAAAAATGATAAGTAATAGCAATAAATAAACAAACATATACGCATGCAATAAATTGAGCGGCTACAAACAACAAAACTAATTGAACGAACCGATAATTCCATTTGTTAACATACGCCTAAGGTTAGCGATTAACTCGAGATATTTTTGTAGAAAATGATAAATTTGCAAGCATTTATGAGCGGTGGAACTGATTGTCAATGAAGAGCTCCTTTGCTACTGTAGGTTCCAACAAGAAATTCTTGATGGATCCCTGCTCTACGTGAGTTCGGCCGATTTCATTTCATCGCGTTTTCAACTTCCGCAATTCTTGGGTGTTATTCGATGTTGTCACGTTGAACGTTTATGACGTTTAATTTCCTCATTTCAGAAATGAAGCCGATGAAAATGTGTGGACTCTAAGGCTTCACAGAGCACTTAGTAGACGCGTTTCCAAGCTCAATACGTTTCAGCAACTAAGAGTAGAACTGTTTAAGATAATGCACTATCTCGAGCAAGAGACCATGTATAAAGAAATGAACGTATGCGGATGACGTAATGGAGTCAACATGCTAAAAGAATCCACGTGTTCCACTGACGCACAGGAGCTCCCTTCCAATCTTCCTTTTTCATGAGGTGCTGATTAATCATCTTAAGCGGAGTCACAGGATGCTGAGATTTGACGTTAGCTGACCCGAACATTGTATAGCCCAAAAAATCATTTTCTAATGGGTGGTCCACTTCAGTGAGATTTATGGTTCGGTCATATGCGCTTTGTAATAAAGTAGTACGTATAAATCAAAACTGGGAGAAAACGAAGCATGACAAATGGCTTGTTACTGCATGCACGGTTTAGGTGTCAAATGTCACGACAAAATTCCGTTCTGCTAGCCACAGGCAAGCCTTAGTTGTTCATGGACAAGTACTTTCATAAAAATAGATTTGTCCGGAGGATAAAAGCGTGTTCTTGTTAAATTACAGTAACAAGATGAAGTGATTATGGAACGTCTTCACAGCTAAAGAACGTAATCGAACACACGCAAGTGTATTCATGCATGAGGTTAATAGACAAGAAACAAGCCTATTCACCCTATTGGCCGACGTTTGCATTGACTAAGAGCCACGTATTTCGGTCAACTCACTCACCGCTGTGTGTTGGTAGTAAATGGCGAGTTCATATTGTGGCAATAACCATCCATCCAGGCAATTGAGAATCAGACCTCAGTGCCCTTATGGGCCTTCATCTTCAATAGCCTTCTAATGCTCTTGGGCCTAACCTGAAACACTTGGTTATTTATAATAATATCATGCGGACTCCTGCTAGCCAGTAATGTTGGCACCCATATACCCTCCCTTCGAAAAGCCAGAAAGTGTCGGTGCAGACCATACACCACAAGTGACGACGGCCTCCAGAAAATGCAAATGTTTTTTTGCCAATGAAATGATTAACCTGTTACAGTTGTATTCGATCAGTTGACACTAATTACAACTATCATTTACTAAAAATCAGCTATCACTATGAACCACTACTAACCAGATTTACTTGGAGGCCGTCGTCAGTTGTGGTGTTTGGTCTGCACCGCACACTTTCTGGCTTTTTGAAGAGGGTATATCCAAACGACTTACGCTCACTTTCACTTTTGAGGCCATCATCTTCTGAAGTGGATGTGTATGGGTGCAAGAAGGGTGTATCATATCTTCTTTCTCAACAGTACTCATGTTACTTCATGAAACGACTACACTGCTTCCGTGGTATGTGCTTGAACAGTAAACTCTCCTGAATGCTGGAAAATGCATTTGAGAATTCGTTGCGCCACTTGTGTCACAAACAAATTCTTGTTTGTACTGCCCTCATCACATCCGCATTAGTATTGTGGATGTCAGTAAAGAATCACGACGGCGACACGCGCTTGCCAGCTATGAATACCTCGACATTTTGACGCCGGTGCCACAGCCAAGGCCATACTTGATCCCTCACCCTTCGCCTCTGAGAAATATATCGTCTTTGAAAAATGTGTTCTTGTCGGAGGATGATGTCTGCTCGCCTGAATTATTCTTCATAAAGGTCGGCGGTAGTGGATACACCGCCGTGGAAAGTCAGGATTCGTGCAAATGGTCCAGTCTTGGAGATGCATTTATCATTTTCACCATCTATCAAGTACAATACTTCCAAGCACAGCTAGAACACGGTATTATGGGTCTACACCCCACTACGCTTACGAAAAATCACCTTATTGTAACAGCAGCAAGCGACACATCGACTGGCGAACAAATCTATCTGCACAGTGGAAAAATTGGCTTTATGGCAACGAATGGGTTCCTTTTATTTCATGCTCTCGGCCTCCTACGCACTCGCAATTCGACCCCGCTACCTTGTGAAACAGCTTTGACTGTGCTAGGTTTTCTCATAAAGTTTATTACGCTTACGTAAACTTACTTAATTGATACCGATACTTCATTATTCTCTAAGCGGTCGACTTTAAGTATAACATTTCTAAGCTCGTCCTGCACTCAATTGCAGACAGATAAACCAACATGACACGATTCGATTTTTGGATGATATAGTAGAGACACACACATACTAACATTGCTTGCCTTTACTCGCTAGGAGAAATACACGATTAAAAGCCACACAAATATCGATTCCTAACGGGAGTCGAGTACGTGGCGTATTCATCGAAACCAATCGAAGATTTTATTCGTTTCGAAATCAATATTTAACCCGTAAGTGACCCTCTCATGAAGGAGATCGACTGCATTTGACAACGGTAAGAGCGAGACTAGTAACTACAACTTCTATGCAAACGTAGCGGTAGTACTTTACGGCCACACATCGCTAACATCGATAAACACAAATCAAGACGAACGGCACTGGCAAAGCCGTCATGACAGCAAATGGACTGTCAATGCTTCTATTCTTTCATAAACCTCGTGTACACCGCCTATTTGTGAAGAATTGACAGCTTGAAGGAAATCGAAGCAAAAGGGTCAACAGTTAGATCAAAAGTTATCCAGATGCTTCAATCGTCAACGGATCACAATGGGTACGTGACGCTTTCCTTTCTGCCACTTTCTTGGTCCGAGGAAACCGGAAAACGAATTGAAGTTGAGTTTAACCGACATCAGCGATTCGATGCATTTGCAAGTACCTGAACAAAGCGTTTTTTATCACTATGATGATAGCCGGAAGTTCCAGGAGAAAACGAACCGACAACAGCGTCATCGTCTTCGAGGTTGTCCGGCGTCCAGCTGTAAGCCGCTGCCTCTCGGATGCCCATGCAAGTGTCCTTGCACTTTTCTCCTTCTATTTCGTTGATCGAGGCCAGTTCGGTTCCAAAGGCGGTGTGATCGCGAAATCGGTCCCTTTCTTCGTCATCTGAAACACGAACCATTAGGGGAGCATTTCATCTGCAACGGCGGAAGTGGTGTAGTGAAGTGGCACGCTTACCACGCGAGCGGTCCGGGGATCAAATCCTGGGTCGTGAGTCGCCCGGGCCAACCAAGCCTTCCATCCCTCCGGGGTCGGTTAATTGGTACCAGACTTGTCTGGGAGGATAAAAACACTGACTTGACATCGGCTGGCCCCCGCAAGTCATTGTATAGGCCACATCGCATTCAAACGCCACTACGAATGTACAAATGGAAGTAGAATGCGTGCCGCATCCCAAAAAGGGATTGATCAACGGCAAATGCTTTATCCTTTATTCCTTTTCACTATTTCCTATTTCCTTTTCACTATTTTCCTATTTCCTCTTCACTTCACTCCTTAAATGTCACTACTGAATAGTATCAAAATGGCTCGTAATTTTCAAGTAAGAGATAATCAAAAGCAGTGGGCCCGACAATATTGTTGTCGATAAACAATGTAATTGGAGATACGTAGTCAAGCATACAGGAAAATAACAAAGCTAAGGCTAGAAGCACTGAGAATTTGATTTGTGATAAGCTTACTGTGACTTTTTGACTTCTACAGTATACGATGGCGACGGCGAGTGCAACGAGCGGAGTAGGGAGTGAGACTAGAGACAGACACTGAGGCGCCTCAATGTTGTGATCTGAAGGGATTACTGGCGTTGAATTTAGCGCGGCTTTCGTCTCGATTATGCTTGTCTACTCGGTTCTTTAAGGTTCTCGGAAGGAATGACCGGCGGACAAAGTAGATTTATGGCCACCTACACCCACATTATTTGACATATCTTTTTTTCATGCAGAAGGAATATGTGAGATTAAGGAACGACCAACAAATGATGTTAATACTTTGGGCAAGACCGAGGTCGAACGGATACTGGCTCGATTCTTTCGTGGTAATTCGAGGAGGTAGTGAGTTGTTCCGAGAAGAGAAACATTAACTCATGCCCGACTTATGTCGATTTATTTTGCAGGATGCAGTGCCTACGGGCTGGTGAGAATCTGAGTAAAAGCCAGAGGTGGGGGGGGGGCTGGGAAAGGGGAAAAAGGCTGTCTTCGAAAGGAGGACTCGATAAACGCCATGTGATTCACTAACTTTTTTTCGCTTTGAAGCTCTTTAAGGTTCGTTATAAAAGTGTCAGATTCATTCTGTGTTTTCCTGCTCACCATCGTCTAGGCAGAATCCTATGACAGCGTCGATCTTCTTGACAAGGTCACCGCTAAGCGATCGCGACTTCAGAAAGCACAGTGCACTACCCTCCAGCCATTCGTACGCGAAACACGAAGGATCCTCACGGCATTCCATAGCGCATCTAAATTTTCAATGGTCTTTCGATCAATTAAGTATCGCTATTGCATCAACTTACCCTCTGTGGTTCATGTTTCGAAGTCGGCGGTATTCGCTGCCGACAATGCTCAGTCCTTTCTCGGTGTTGAAACATCTGCCTGGAATTTCTATACAGAGTGTTGAGGAGATTTATCTCATATGAAGCAGGCTCGGAAGGATTATCAAAAGCTCGTTGCCTTAGCGGCCACTTAACTGACAATATTCAAAAGGAAAACACTGTCCGAGTCATCAGCCGACTTCATTACCAAACCCGCAGTGAAACCCACACCAAATGGATGTCTTTTTAGAGGAACCATCGTAAAATGGCATTATTCTTACTTTCCATTTCTGCGTGCTCTAAAGCTCGCAGAGTAGCTAAAACACAGCTATCGTAAGATACGGGGGCATCGTGATGGCAATGCATTGAAAAGTGGACTAACCATAAGCCTCAAGTGGGGGAGAGAAGACATAGAGTGCATAAGCAATTTTGGTTTTGCTCAAAGTTCATGCCCCCTACTAGACCTAATCTTGGAGGATGCCTCTCGTATTTGCAATAGCGCTGCTACAACCTTCACAATGGATGATGCCAAAGAAAAAGCACCGTTGCTCAAACAAAAAAAAACACTGCGATCGGATTTTTTTTCGAAAGCGAAAATGTTTTTCAGAATTGATCAAATAATGAAATCAGGAGTGGCAACCCTGAACTCAGCTGTGCATCCTACCGTATGCTCATAGACTGCCCACTCAGAATTCTTTTGCAATTCATTGAGGTCGGCTAATCGGTATCCCGTGTCTCAGCAAAGCGGACGTCACAACCATCCTCCCTACCCGGGTGACCGCACATCTCACATACGCAATCAAATTGCCCTACAATTTTGAATGGAACTTGATGCGTGACGTACTTCATATGAATTGCTAACCATGCTATCTTTATCCTTAATTGTAGACCACAGCGCTCCTGCCCCTCCTGTGCAATTAGGTGGGTCGGGCATGATCTTTTGCGTACCTACGAGTGACCTGCTCTCGGCGATATCTCTCAGTGTGCACTAGTGGCCAGCATTTCGGAGGTGGGAGGTTCACGGTTGACAGGAGACCTTTTAGAGCTTTTTCCTGTCGAGTGCGTCGATGAAGGAATCAGGAAGCGGCACAGCGACACGAAATGTGCATGCGGGCGTGATGTATGGGGTCAATGACATCATATTTGTAAGGCGGAGTGGTTAAGCACCAAAACGATTAGTGTACACAGTTGCTTCTGACTGGGCACTTTCCATGGAGTTCTGCCCCCTCACTTGGAATATCTTCCTGTTCACAGTTTACCACATGGCTCAGTTTATTTCCGGAAACAGATTTGGCCGTGCGCTATTAAATTAATCCCTGAATTAAATTATTCTTGTGTTTCCTCGTTAACTTCCGCAAGCGCTCACAGACACACGCGACGTGGCTAAATAGGGCCACCGATGACGCGCATCGTCGCGGATATTTATAGATTCGGGGCATATTAAAGTTGAAACATTTACTTATCACTTCAGGCTACGGTCATATTGCCGGAGGATCCCAGGTCACATATATTTTGTCAAAGCGCTGTCATTCTTTTCTCCCACGCGCACAAAAATGAGACCTGGCGGCCGCACTGCTTAAGAAATGAGTCACATGGAAGTGACTGTTGAGTTCAAATGACGATTGCGAAAGTAATTCTTCTGTGAGGTGGTAGCAAGTAGGAACCCGACAGGATTTATCTGGCACATCATCTAATGGCTCCGCTCAAGAACCCTTAACTGAAGCGATGACGGGGAGAAAACCATACTGACGTCAGATGATAATGATAAGAAACACGTAAGCCTCACTTATTGTGCGATCAGGAATAGGAAGTGATCTCTTCGAGCGCAGTGCACGGCAATTTGTTAAGGGAAATTGTGGGTTAGTGAACAACTGAAGGTGAACTGGAGCAGAGCTTACCGAAACTTTCGCCAGACGATAACATCGACATGAAGAGCACAAACGGATAGAACACTCGAATCGACGACATCAATGTAGCATTGTTGTTATTGAGGATGATAACTGGCGCGTTAGTTGGTAACGGCTTGGGAGTTACTAGAGGTTCCATCAAGTCCTGAAAATCCATCTATCAAAGCACCGACCCACTATATCGGTATGTTCGCGGAACAGCAAAGAGTACTAACAGAATATGGTCAAATTTGCTCATGCCGTAAAAACTGACAACTTTGGGTACGCTACCCCTACTGCAAGTTGATAGCAGATGAGGATGTGAAATGAGACCGAAAAGCTGTAGCATGATGAACAGATGGCATTATGCCTAAGTAATGATGCTAATGGCTCCACTTTACTGATACTGGCTTGAATTTCACTATCGAAAGTTTTGTAATAGCTGTAGAAACTTCTTAGGGAAAAGTGCTGCCGAATAGATGAAGTGAAACCAGTGCGCTTGAACTGATAGATACTTCTCCATTGGTTTTCAGTCAAGGTTTCGAGAGGAATTCCTCAAGCATGCCTCGAGAAATTTGCACCTCAGAGAGCAGAGGAAAGGCAGGGGTGCACCCAATGAGCGTTTCTTTGCCAAAACAAGCTAAAGGAACTCCGGAGGCCGACTTCTAGTAGCCGCTAGTACGAAGTAAAGAGAACGATGGGTTGGTGGGGGGACAAAAACCCTCAGGCCATGAATAGTTTCCATGAGGAAGCTCTGTTTGAAAGGGGAGTCCGACAGTCGAAAGCTGCTCAGAACCGCATGCACGGCGGCAAAGTTCTTGAACTGCGACTCCTCTAAACACTTCATGTTCTGTCGATGGGCGTGGCGATAGGCGGAGATGAGGGAAGGTGGGCGCCCCACCTCCCCTAAATGTCATCCACCCATCTCATTACAGTCGAGGGAGCAAATATGAACACACGCAATCAGACCTGATAGTTTCTGAGCATGATCCGAAGGATTTGCTGACATCAATTCCAATCTTTCCAGCGCAATGCGGAACCACAGTTGAGGGAGTAGCTTAGCCTGGCTCGGAAAACAGAATTAGCTGCAATTCAGCCTCGGCTTAAACCGTACATGGGAATCCTATTAGTTTGAGTTGACGCGTTTAGGAGGGTGGATGGTTTATGAAGAGTTGTCCTCAACAATATAGGAATTTTCTCCTCGGAGACTTTTCAGAACTTTCTGTTTGAGTCAAACGCTTTGGGAATGGCTCTCCCACTTCCCCCGCATTCGTAACCAGAATATCACATGCGCTGAACCCAAAAGAAAAAGTTCAACTTTTTTAGAGAGAAAACAATTCGCGTTTTGTACATTAGGTTTAGCACGATTTTGTATTGAGTTGTTTAAAGTACACTCTACAATATAGCGCTGTGATTTCTGCACGCAAAATGAAAGCAGGATGTGAAGCACTTTGGCAGTAAACAAACAAGGGAAATAATAAGACTGAAAGCGCTGAGGCTAAGGTTTTACTCATTTTCGTAATTCAGCTGGGTCAAGCAGTGAGAGACTGAACGCGGAGGAGATAGGACAGGAGACGGTAATGCGAATGAGAGAAAGCAGACACTTGCACGTTGCGAACTGGGAGCGGTCACAGAGATTTTGAAAAAAAAATAACGTGGCCACTAAAGCAAAGGTCTGCAAACTCGAAATGTACGGCTTTGCAAGAACCTCGGCATGGTATATTGATGGCTGATATCTTCTGTAAGCTCTCCACGAGGTTGTTAAGCAGACTTTATTGGCTTACGTTTCGGCGGGGTCGCCTTCTTCAGAGCCTGAAAGGATCGAAGCAATTTATGACTACCCGACCAAACGCCTCCGCTATCCTACTGAAATTCGAGAACAAAACAGGTCATCACGCAATACCAAGGTGGGCCACTTACCGTAACTTAGTCCGGTACTCGAGACCACCCGGAACCAGTAGTGGGACACACAGCAATTGCCTCTTCAACACTACCCTCTCTCTGCTATCTAATCACTCGCCACGTATAGACCTGCGGCGAGTGATTAGATAGTCGGTGGGCGTACCCCGCCAACCGCGCCAAGAGTGAGCCATGCTAGATCGCCGAGGTCAAATCTTTCGCTGCCAATTGCGCGTCGGTCAGCACCCTCAGGAGGTCCGCCTGTCTCCCAACTATGCAATTTCCCCTTCTTTGATTCTTATCGTGAATTCCTCCTTTAATAAAACATGAAAATCATAAAGCTCACCTACCGCATTGGTCAGTTACATCGGTCAATCCGGTTGATTTAAGTCGCGGATGTAGTTCAAGCAAAATGTACAGGCATAGGACCTGGGAGCCTTATAACAACAACGGCTGCGATTTAGTAAAATGGGGCTTCTGTAGACTTCTCATACGTTTGGTAACATGAAATAAGCTGCAAAGGAGGAGAAAATGGGGTCCACTCACAATGTTTACTATTAGGTTGTCCCATAATTAGTGAATCACTTCGGGTATTTTTGAATTCGAATTTTTTTCTTTTTCATATGAAGTCTCTTGCTCATCC